ATTTCAATCTTACGTTACATGTAATATTACGTAATTTACCGTCAGATTCCGTAAAATTCAATTTATAACTAAATAATTAATAAGTGAATATTAGTGTTAATTAGCTATTAGTTAACGATAAATTACATTCAATTCCATTCAAACACATGAAATATTAATTATATCTTAAAAATTGTTATCAGAGTCCTAAAAATTAAATTTTGTCTTAATTAAAGCATTAGTTGGCAAAATAACACGTAAGAGTATGTTGTAAGTTACATGTAAGATTCAAATTTTACTGTAATTTACGTGTAATTTACTGTAAATTACGTCTGTAAGATATGTAAGTTACATTTGTGACAACACTAGTTGGCACACAAACCAATGGCTTATCCCCTGTTATGAGACCCACACTAATGATTAGCGATTGTATTATCACAAGTAAGCGATCATATGATAGATCTTAGATTAATAACACATTTAAATAAAAACAATTAAAACATAACTTTTCTTAATTAAAATTCAATTATAAAACTTTACAAAACTTTTGCATTCATTATCCAAAGTTTGTTTCATAAAAATCTTTGGCCACAAAATGGGATCACAATTACGGCCACAAATCGGGCGAATGGCTAGAAGTGTGCGCCGAGTAGTCGGGCGGCGGACTCGACAAACAGCCTGTGATTGGCGTATAGTTTGAGGTGAGCGGACATATCCATCCATTGGGCGCCCACCGCGTCATCGCCAGACTCGAGCACCACCTGAGCCGCCATATCGTCGTTCAGTTCATACACTTTGGCCACACTTTCCATCCATGCGTTGTCTGTATTGCGCGGATCGGCAACACATCCCGCGTATACCTCCCGCCCGGCGCCCAATAGACGGCCCGCTTTGACCACATCGTTGCCAAACGCCTCTTCGGCGAACTCGCGAACCAAAGCCGTGTCCACCGATTCTCCCGCGTCTATCATTCCCTATGGAAATGAGATCATTGTTTAGATATTTGCGGATCAATTGACTGTTGGCTTTAAATACTAACGCCCGGTAGCGCCCAATCGCCGGTGTCTTTGCGCTGAATGGCCACGAATTGGGCGACCGGTAGACCAGTGGTCGGGTGAGTGACAGGTCGTCGGTCTGCGTCTCGTTTCCATCTGCAGAAAAATGTGGTCAATAGTTGTGAAACTGTATTGAAAGGTATGGGTCTTCGGCGGTGACAATACTTGATGACAATGGCGTCGACCGCGTGGTTGGGTCCCCACCGGCCCAACACTCCCCGCAACGCAATGCCAGTCCTTCCCAACGGATTCAATGGATAGCCGTCTTTGACCGCGTAATCCACGCTATGGCGCGACCGCCGGTCCACCGGTCCGTCACTTTCGTGCCATTTGGGTGCAAAACCAGCGGTTCTGAAGACATACAGAGTATTATCAATAAAATGGCAGTCAATTGTCACCCTTTAGGTCCGACTCACCCGATGGCCGGATCGGCCCAACCCTTACCGCTGAAGTCTATCTCATAGAGAGTGGGCTTATAGTGAGTCCAGTCCTGACTCCACGGCCGGCGCTCTTCGGGAACCGCTGTTCGCGTCACTGATGTTCG